TTCTTTCAAGAAAATTACCATATAAGGAAATTTTCAAGAAATCAGTGGTGAACGGGTGAGAGTTTTTTTTTTTTTTAGGAAAGAGTTTTTTTTTTTTATATTAATATCTATTAAATATATATATATATATATATATATATTGGTTTAATCAACTGGGTCTTGCCTAGCATACTTTATTATTTTATTTACATATGTAATTTATGTATTACAAGAACTACTATCTATAAATAATTCTACACATCACTAGATTATATCGATTTTACTTCATATCGGCTTGTTGCTGTCAGCATCACCTCAAAGGGGTTGTGCTAAGGCTAACATGCCAAAGCCCTATTAGTGTTATTATTATATCATTATGTTTTATTTGGTACTGTGTGAATTTAAAGAGGAAGTTTGAATGTGAGGAACTGGGGGTAGCACCTATTTTTGGCAAATAGAATCACTGTAGAGAGAATTCTTTTAAACCCAATCACCTGCAAATGGGCGTACCATTTAATTTCCATCTTCCTAGAGCTACCTAAGAATGTTTAAGAAACTTATCTCACAGACTTACGGCCCATAGATTATTTTAGCTATTGGTACTTACTGCTGTTTTGGCTGCCTTTTTGGGATAGATAACTGTTGGAGCGATCTATTATTGGATTGAAATAAGACCTTTCTAAAAACTTGCAGAAAAATACACCAGATACCATAGGGAAACGATCACTAAGTCATCTTTACCGAAAGTGAACACCTCATATACCTTACAACTTCAAGTGATTATTGTAACACCAATCAGATAATAATCATGCCATGATACTTTTTCTGGAAATCGTAATCTCAACGCCTGCTGAATCAGTATGTGAAATGGTTTCTCATGAGAAACAGCGCATATACAGATTATAACACCAGATACCGTATTAATTCTATTTAACTGCCCTTACATGAAGTTGAACTGGTATCTTGTGATTTGACCTGTGAAGTATTAACCACTACACTACAGATCCACAGGTCTCCTTAAATATATATATATAATTAATAATATAATTAAAAATTATTATTTATTATTTCTTCTTTTTTTCTTTTTAAATTTTTAAAATTTTACATATGTTACTTATATATTACAATAGATTATAATTAATTTATTTAATATAAAAAATCATTAATATAATAATAATAAACAAAAGTTTAATAAAATATTTAATATTTAATATTTGTTTACAAAAAAATAATAAATAAATAAATTTTTTAATAAACTTATATTTTTTTATTTGTTATTTATTAAATTATAACAATTTTAATTAAATTGATTTAATTTTTTATTAAATTATTTTACTTTTTTATTAAATTAGTTTTTTATATCTTAAAATAATTTTAATTGATAATATTTTAAATTATAATATATTTTTACAATAGTTTATAAACCTTTTTAAAAATTTTTTTATATTAATTAAATATTATAGAAAAAATTTTTATAAATATAACAAATTACTATAAAAATAATTATATAAATTTAATATTTTATTAATATTTTAATCTTTTATAATAATAATTTTTTTTTTGCTTGATTAATAAATAAATATAAAATTATTATTGTTAAATTAATAAATAATAATTTACTAATTTATTATATATTTTTTTTAACCATTGTATAGTGCCAGAAGTCTATACTCAAAAATAATATAGTGTGATTTTAAAATCTATTAACTTCTTAAAAAATTTTTTTAAATAAAAATAAACCAGTAACTTTGTTTATTAAGATCTATTCTATAAAATTACTAGTTTAAATTTTAAAAAAACTTATTAATAAAAAGTTATAAGTGTTTTAAATTTGTGTACTTTCAAGTATTTTATTATGTTTTCACCAAAATTGAAACAAATTCATATCATGTAACTTCAATTTGATTGGTTAATTTTAATAAATTTATATTATATATATTTAATTGAAAATCTAATTAATCATCTTAATGGTACTCCATATAAAGCGACAAAAATAGATAAGTAATTTGCCAAAAAAGAAGAGTCGATATATTTCTCAGAAAGAACATCAAATTGTTGTGGAAACTACCATCAACACTATGATCAATGAGGAATATCAAGTTGTCACAAAAAAAGCTGTTATCGCTAGGGAAGCTATTGTCACAAAAGGAGCTATTGTCACTAGAGAGTTGTTGTTGCTAATAATAAAAATCAAATTATCGTGGGATTAACCACTGTGACCAATAATAAACATCAAATTACCATGAAAATAGTTGCAGCCACAAAAATAGTTGCGGGCATCAGTGATAAAAACCAAACTATCACAGAAACAACCATTGATACCACTAACCCATATGACAAAAAAGACTTTTATATTACAGAGGCAACCATTAATATCCAAAAAGTTTTGAAAAATGGATGAATGAAGACTTGAGAGAATTTGAAGACAGGAAAAAGATTTCTCATCTGGAATGATAATGCTGGAAATAATCTTAGAACCACATATACCAGAAACTCGAGAACAACATTGTGGAGATGCGATAAAGAAAAAAAAAAGCATGCAGAATATGTTAAAGAAATGAAACTGATTAATATGTTTTTCCAAATAGCTTTACCTACACAGCATCTTTGTTCATCACATCCTTGCCTATCACATTCTCGCCTATCACATTATTGTCTGTTTTTATTATTATCTACTCGTCTTGAAGAACTTAACTAACAATGTTCAATAGAAAAATCTATAAAAGAAAACAATAAAATCTTCATATATAACTATTTACGCCTTCTCAGTATTTATCGATTTATACAGTTGTTATTGGATAGACAAACTAAGATGGATGCTAGTTGCCAAATCACTTAAACAATATGGCACAAAGGAGATTACATGGTTACGTGTATTTGAAAGTGGGAAAGTCATTTTATACAGACCGGAACACTTCTCACCTATCATCAAGAAAAACACATGAAACTTCAGAGTTTATTAGATGATGAAAATTTTGTTGAAGGTTGCAAGGCATGGATACAGCAACAAAAACCAGAAATACATTTCCTGAGAAACTTAAAAGCATATATTAAAGACATATTATTTCTGAAATTGACAGGCTACATCAAGAAAAATACCATCTCTAAGAAGACATATCAAAATTATATGCATTCTTGATGATACAGATATAATGAAAAAGGAAAGGGTATTTATTATAATGGGCATGAGCGACCTGATGTTGTGACATATAGAAAAGAATAGCTGAAGTGAATGTTTGTGTATAAGAAAAGTATAAAAGATTTCGATGGTGATAAATTAGATATTATAGTAGAACCCTAGCTCGAACTAGGAAAAAAGAAGTTTGTCCAAGTAACATATGACAAATGTCACTTTTATGCAAATGATAATCAATGAAGAATTTGGATCCAAGAAGAAGAAAATATTCTATGCCAAAATATTTAGAACGATCCATTATGGTTTCCACTTTTTTATGCCCATGTTATGGTTTATTGTGACTATCCAAACATCAATTGCAAATCAACCCGCATATTAAACATCAGAAAAGTTTTGTTCTTCATTTTATTCAAAAAGATGGATATTGGAGATCAGAACATATGTTAGACCAGGTTTGGGCTTTTTTTTAATTTATTTTAAATTTTAATTAAACCTAATTATCTTTAGCTTATATATTAAGCAATACTGATATTCGAAGTATTACACTCTGGATGTATTGGCATTTTTTGTTTTGAAACCACAATACTATGGCAAATGATGCCCTAATTATGACGAAAATGAATTTGAGTTCTGGACATATATAGCCTAAGATGCGTGATGATTGATATATTGACAAAAGTGGCAAAAGACATATGCAATCAATGATATTTCCTGGTGATTATCCGATTGAAGAATTAAGAGATTAACCTAAAGATATTAAACAAGTACTTACAGAATGTAACTTATGGCCATCAAAGAAAATTCGTTTAGTGTGTAAGGAATGTTCAGAGAAACATGATGATTTGACAAGATTGGATTGTTGTGTGCAAAAAATTTTGTCTTCCCAATCTGATTTTTGTGAACAGCAATCAATATTGCATAAAGCAACTGTAAGTGCGGAACATGTCTTTGAACGTTACCTGAAATTTCATTGTGAATGCAACTTTATAGAGCGATACTAAGGTTTTTTGAAGTGAGAAACTAGATGCCAATGTAATTATAATTACACACATTTATTGAACCAAATTTCCAAAGTTCTCAATAATGTTTCTATAATCACAATCTGAAAATTTGCATGTAGATTGTGAAGGTATATGGATATATACAATAGAAAATTAGAGAGTAAAGTTTCCAAGTGGGCTATAAGTAAATTTAAATCACATAGACGATTACCAGAAAATATTGAAAAAATAATAGAAATTGAATATGGGAAAGTGAAGATGGGGGAAATGAACAAAGTAACAAATAAATATTGTTTTAGTTATATAGTGATGCAATGATTTAATGATAATTATAATTATGGCAATGTATATATATATATCATGTGATCGATTATACATGTACATATAGCAGATTCACTTCAAAATCAGTACTGATCCAATCATGTTGGATCACATAACCATTTACGTGATATACTGGCATACAAAAATTTGAAACAAATTTTTGAGTCTAGACTTCTGGCACCATATAATAAATTTGTTTTTAAATAGTTTTACATATAATTTATTCTTATTTTATAAATTTTTTTATATAATTAAATCTTATTTAAATATTAAAACTATAATATTTGTTATATATTTTTTCTTTTTTGGGGGGGTTTTCCCTCATAGGTAAGCATCATTTCTTTATTTGATATTGTATATAACAAGGTATACATCATGAAAGAAACAATATCTCTTATGTACATGTATAGCAAGTTAAATACTAGCCTGCCTATGCAAACACATCTAGCTAATATTGAAAAAAAAATTCAAAACAATACTATATACTAGTTGTGCCTAAATAGCAGCTATGCTTATCTACTCAAGAAATTTTGTGAATTTTTTTGATTTTTTAAATATAAAAAATTGAAAAGAAAAATAAAAGTAACTATAGCTAAAACTACGTTAAGTAAACTATAATCTATAGGTAGAAAACTATTATTTCTCCTCGAAAGCCTCCAGACAGGCTTGTTGTCCCATTTCTCCGGCTCGTCAATTACCATAAATAATAGAGTATACGTGATGTTGTTTGTTGTTATAGTTGTTAGTAGTATATTAGTTGTTGTTGTTGTTGTGATCGTTGTTGTGATACAAAACTGGTTTAAACTTGATCAAGTTTTGTTTTGATCTTTAAGTGAAATCTTATTGGATGATTGAGGAGTGCAGATCATCTTGAGAGATAAACTGATTTTGGTTTTTTGGATGAAAATTTTTTGATAAATGAAAATGGTGTAGCAAATATTGCTACAAAAATATTGTATATATAGGTTGACTTTAAAACAAACAGTAGACCCACTAACTTTGTTTATAGATATGGTTTGGAAAGTATTTAACTTAGCGAATATAATGGTAATAATATATATGGTTTTTATAATATAATAAGGATAAGGTGGGGTGCAAAAGAATTGAAGAAAAAAGAACTGTCATGGATCTTTCCTCATGCAACCGAAGGATAAGCAAGACTCTCAAACTTGAATAGATTTCAACCAGAGGTTCCATCCCACTGTACCAGTTGTCTTGAAGGTTCTTAAGTTCCTGAGCTAGGGCTCACTTGCGATAAAGAGTGTAAAATGTTTTTTTTTGCTTAAAATTATCATAAAAGAAAAATTTTTAACAAAACGGACGCGATCAGAAGAAAGTTTTTTTTTATTATATATTTCTTCTTTAAAAATAAAAGTATTAAGATTTTATTATATATATTGAAATATTAACATTATTATATATTCAACAATAGTTAATAAAAAAAAAACTCTTTTTCATAAATCATCAATTTCTTAAAAATTACCTTTTTTGGTAATTTTAAAAACACTTGTTAAAAATTATCTTTATCTTTAAAGAATCATAAAACTATAAAAATTTATAATTAAAATATAATTATTTAAAAAGATAAATTTATTCTGTGAATTATATTGACTACTAACAACTTCTTATTAGATACTTTCTCCTTTCTCAATAGATAAAATTTATAATAGAAAAAGGAAAACACAAGTATTACAATTTACAATAAGCTTAAAGAAAAGTCAATATTAATCCTTTTAGCTTCTAGTCAATTATATATAAAATTCTATATTTTTCTAAATACCAGAAGGATTTTTGCTAATCAGATTTTATCAGATAAATAAGACAACTTTGATACTAAACAAAAAACAAGAAAACACTAGACTTTTTTCAAAAAAATCCAATAATAAAATTGTAAGTTTCAATAAAGTCTATGAAACATAGTACAGCCATATACTTGAGGATCAGAAGATCTATTAGCAGTTTTGATTTACCCTCATTGGGTCATGTAAACCTCTTCTGATTGTCGAAGGCATGCTAGTTCAATCTGTATGCTCAAATGCAAGAGGAGTTGGAAATCCAAGTTAAAAAATTCAAAAAAACAAAAACAACAATATATCAATTAATATTAACTATCTATAGTTATATAACAAAACTTTCAATTGTAAGAAAAAATCAGAACCAGCTTACTTTTAACAAGTTATTGATATATTAAAACATATAAAGCAAATCAAAATAAACCTAAGTAAATAATATATATATATCAAAGGTGATGAACTCTTTTCGCTGATCCTTTTGCCAACCCAAAAAACAGACGTTCTCAAAAAACTTTTTGTTTTTATGATAATAAAGTCTATACAC